ACCTTGCTGAATAATTAAATTGTTGCAAAAATTGAGTTTTGTGAAGGTATTTAAGTCTAAATTTTTTTCAAAAATTTTCACTTTAATCAGATTAGTAAATATTTTTATATTGCAAAATCCTTCACTGACCTTAAATTTCAATTACTTGAGACTATAATCCACAAAAATTCTCATACTCTTCAATCTAACTATTCAATTGGCTTCAAATTTTTTATACAATTAAATCAAATATAATGACAAATAACCAAATTTTTACATATAAATATGCTACAAAACTAACAAAATCCTCAAATTTGTCAATTTTTTTTATTTTTTAAAACTAAATACATTGAGTACATTATTAACTTTGAAAATTCTTCAAAATCTCAATATCAATTCAAACAATGTAAAACTAACTCTCAAAAATCTTTTTATAAGTCTTTTCTTAATTCCATTCTTTAATTGATCAAAGAACCTTGGAATTGCCATATGTAAATGATTTTGTACTTTGGGATTTAATTTTGACCTTGGTTTATAACTAGTCTTCTTTGGATATCAATTTTTAATGATTTGAGGTAATTTTTGCTTAAATCTATTCTTAATTCTTTCTTAAATATGCCTCTATCAATTACTTATCTCTTTTACTTTGATTTGAGGTATTTATGCTCCTACAAAGTAAATAGAAGTCCTTTCTACAAAAAAGTAGCATTAAGATTAAATTTTTTACTACCTTCCTATCATTTATCATTATTTTTTTACTACATTTTTTTATTAGGCTCTTTCAAAATAATATCTATATTATTATTTTTTATTATATAGCCATGTTACCACAAAATAGCATAAATTAAGTTTTGAAATTGTATTTGAGGTGTACCATCATCTATCAACAAGATCATTAGACAATTCTTTTATCATTGATAGAGTTTGCTTATAATAATATGGTATATTTTTTTATACAAAAATATCTTTCTGTACTAATTATAATTATCATCCATAACTTAATAATTTTGACTTTTCAAAGGTTGATAACCTTATGATGAAAGATTTAACAAATTATTTATCTAAACTATATATAATAATAAAGACACAATTAATAGAAGCTCAAGAATAAAAATAAAAAAAAAAGAACAATATGGATGCTTATTGTAATGAGAAACTTTAATTCCATGTTGGTAATAAGATATGATTATTTTGTCACAATAATAAGACTAACCACCTTTGTGATAGGTTGGATTATCATAGGCTTCGACCATTTCTTATATATAAATAAATTAATCCTATTTTTTATTAATTACATCTACCAAAATCTATATAGATTCATCATGTATTCTACATATTTTTATTTGAACTATGTAAGACAATAAATATCTCAAAAAAAAGTCAATTGTCATATTTTCTTATAGAAGTAGATAATAATCAAGAATATGAGGTTGAAGAAGTCCTAGACTCAAGGCAACATTGAAATAGGTTGGAATATCTTATTCATTGGTACGAATATGATATTAATAAATTTACATAGAAATTTACTAAGAATCTTATAAATGTAGCAAAGAAGGTTGATGCTTTTTATCAATAATATCCATCAAAACCAAGATAAAGAATAGCAAATCTTTGCTATAAAAGAAACAAGTTCAAAGGAAGATTGCATACTATTTTTTATCATTATTTGTAGTTTTTTTTATATTTGTGGTGCTAAAATGATGGAAAATCAATAAGTTAATTCAACTTAAGAAATATTGTTTATGGACTTATTAGACAAGACATTGCAATTTTTATAGCCTTTAAGATGACGTAGTAGAAATGAAGATCCTTAAACATAACATATTCTTTTTCAAATAGATGATAAGATACAATGCATTTAGTATCACAACCTTTGAAGAAACTTTCAATATTTAGTGATTTTATTAGAAGTAGAAATGACTCTTGAATCAAGATATTATATTGGTAGTTGATGGCATATTCAACTAAAACTTCTTTGTTACTCTCTACTAATCTCTTAATCAAAGGATAAGCATTATAATAAGTCTTTTCTTCTTTCAATTGAAATTATTAGAGTTTTAATATTTTATCCAAACTTTAGCTTAAATTGTTCAATTGAAGCTCTTCAAAAAAATTCAAAATATGGTTAAATAAAGGTTCTTGTTTCTTATCCACTTTGGTTTTATTATAATTTTCTTTTGAGTTATTTCCATCTTTAGTCTTTACTTTAGAATCCACATTTTTTTTCAATTGATAGAATGCTAGCTTTAACACTTTGACCACAAATTTTTATTGGTCTTTCAAACAAATTATTGAAATTTGGCGCCTAAAAATTTATAAATGCCTCAATTTTTGTTTTATATAGGATCTCAGATTCTGATTAATTGAACACTTACTAAGTATTGGAAGAGTGCTTGCCACATATTGTAGGAATTCAATCTTGGTCTCTTTTCAGTTTGGCCATTATATCAAAATTTAAACTTGATAATAAAGTCATCAAGTTCAATGGTGCCTACAACACCAAAAAACCTCTACATTTTTTATATGACTCTATAAATTTGTAAATCTTATAGAAAACTTTAATCTTATGAAAAATTAAATTCTTTTATTGTGACTAATTCTACTTCATCTAGTAATCTTTTTTATTCTTCTACTACCATAAGTTGGTCTTTAATAAGATTTTTTAAATTTTTGTCTTAATTCTTTAATATTTAAAAAATCATAAATTTATAGACCTATCACTTCTAATCATACTCTTAGGTAAATAAAACTTAGAATTATTCTTAATCTCCTATATAATTATTTTATTGAAGTTTTTAAAGCTTTCTTAATCAATTAAATTCTAATATTTTTTAACTTATTATAAAAATCCTTTAATTTCCAACTATCATTAATAGATGTATATATATATATATATATACTTTAATAGTTATTTAGATAATATAAATAGATAAAATAGGTAAAAATAGATTAATTTGATAATATTTTGTAGAAGAGCTTGTGATATAAGCGAACTATGTATTACAAGTTAACCATGTGGTGTATATATAAGAAACTTATCTTACAAGTTAAGACATGTATCTCATAAATTGGACGCATGTTAGAGGTTCAATAGAATGTTGCCACATAATTTTTAGGTGGATGATATATATATATATATATATATATATATATAGAGAGAGAGAGAGAGAGAGAGAGGTGAGAGTAAAGCCTTCTTTATTCTTGTCAACTCTTTTCTTGTGTCTATTCTAATTTCAAGGGTCTCTAATTTTCCTTATCTTTTAACAAAAGCCATTCCAATTTCCTGTTCAATATACATATTTATTTAATTTTATCAACTTTCTTTCATACATATCTTACTTATTTATGTATCTTTTTTGAATTATTTTCCTTGATACCAATATTTTATCAAAATCTTGTGATTTCCAATTTCTTGCCAAATTCTATTGTTTTCAATTTGTTACCAAATCTTGATGATTTCTTCTACTAATCAATGACTTAAATAGAGCCACTTCTATTTTCATAAACTTCCTACTTGGTAACTTGAAGGATCTCCAATATCATTCAAAAATACTCCATTAGATAATAGATAATTTATACAAACTAAAAACTAACCATTGTGAATATTCTAAAGTCTTATATATCTGAAATTTTGATAAGAAAGAAATTAGAGGACAAACTCTTCACATCATGTAGACTTCCTTGAAATTATTTTGCATTACTTTATCTTAAAGTTAGCAAAAATATTGTGCAAACTTGCTTGTAAATACCTGTGCCAAAGCTCTACCACCTCCAATCACCTCAATAGTATAATGCTTTAGATTAAGGCATTCTAGCCTCCATCCTTCAAATGCCATAATTGTTGCAATTGTAGATGCGCTTCTTGCACTTTCAAAGTTTACAACAAGTTCTTTGAGCAGATTTACTACTATTATATATACAAAAAATTATAATTTTTTTAATACACATACACACATACTTCCACAAGTTTGTGAATATTTGGCATGGACTTCTATAAAAAGAACATGAGTTATGTCAATCTTGATGACAAATTCCTTTCTATAAATGATATTCATCTATTTTGGATTTAATTAGTCAATCATAGATGAAAGATAAAGAGTCATCTATATAAGACACTTAAGTATATTTTGTACATCCTAAAGTCAATAGAAAAAAGCTATAGTGCCAATAAACTTGAAACCTTTGTAATTTGAGCATTCATTAACTTCCACAAAGAACACCAAAATCCAAGTTTTTTTCTAAAATAAGTGCACAAATTTACTATATTTGTATTAGATACATTAAAATCTTTTCAAGTGATGAAAAGTAGAAAAAATTCCAATGGAGTAAATTTTTTTAATAATAAACACAATAAGTCAAGCTACATATAAATATTATTAAAATATATTAATCTACAATGAAAGAAGCTAAACACTGAAACTCCTCTTTAAAAGGCTTAACTTAAAAAAGATGAATCATTACAAGATTTTAGAATATTTAAATACAATAAGACTTGAATAGGAAGTCAAAGACCTCTAAGACCCCTTTTAAGATTCTTTCCAAGATTTCTTTCTAGACTCCTTCTAAGATCCCTTCTAAAAGATAAAACTTAAGTCTCACCCTTATGGTGGCTCTATGTCCTATAATACACTATGGCATATATCACTAAGTTCCTAACATAGTGTTCAAATTTTAAATAAGTTTGGACAATTGGTCGGAGCATTGTAGTAGTAGTAGGGGTGAGAGAGAGTGAGCGAGGGCGTGTGTGTGTATGTTTGCTAGCTTTTCATTCACCCAGTTGGTTCGTTAGTTACTTTGTTTGTGGGTACTAGTGAGTGAGCTTCAGCCATTCGTTCGAAGAGGGCCAGAGGGGTCTCGGGGGGTCTGCCCGGATTGCGTGCCCACTTGACCAGGCGCAAATGCCGTTGGCCCCCGGGCTGTGTCGCACCGCCGGATGAACGCCGTCACGCGGAGGGATGAACAGTGACGGGCAGCTACGACGACGAGGGGGAGGAGGGAGCTTCGGGAGAGGGGGAGGTCCCATCGATGGCCTCGAAGGAGTAGGAGAGGACGAGGAGGAAGGAGGAGGAAGAGGGAGAGATAGAGACCATCGCAATCTGCTTTCCAATCTGCAATTCTTCTTAACTCCCGATCATCCGATCGCCCTGTTTCCACTTCGCCATTCTCCCTGCCCTGCCCCCTCAATTCTGCTCTCCCTTCCCCCACCACCCACCACCATAGCTGCGCTCAATTCCAGCTGATGTCCATGCAAATCGTCCGCCTCGTGTTCGATTTTGGTTCTGCCTCAAGATTCGGACTTCGTTGCGGGTTTGGAGGGGATTCGTTCTTCGCAGCACCGCGCCAGTTGGGTTTCTCGTTCGGATTCTCTGCGTTTTTCTGTTGTCATGAGATTGCAGGATTCGCACCGGAGGATTTGCCGTGATTTGAGTTTTTGAGGATTAGAGCTTATGACGGGATACACTGGGTGTGATTGCATTGTTGGGAACTTCCTAGTTTGCGCAAGGTCAGCCCTGCGAGTTGCGTGATGATGATGTCAAACGTAGACATCGCCCAGTGATTTGTTTGAGATTCGTGTAATTGGGGTGGACCATTATCGCTGCATTGCGCTTTTCGGGTTAATTTTTGCTTCGTGAAGAAGTGCTTGATTATTAGCTCGATCGGAGGTTCGGCAGATTGGATTATGGATATTTCTGCTGATCACGGTGTTTTGGCGGCGCTATTTGGGTACGTGTCTTTTCATCAACTGAATCGTTGCGTCGACATTCCAGCCGATTTTGTTTTTGTTTTGGTTGCAATGTGTTGTTCAAAGTGTGGATTAATCTTGGTCATTGGTGGATGGCGACAGTGTTTAGTCAAGCTAGTGATCATTGAGTGCTGAAAGTCTACGAGAAAGATACACTACGAAGTCATTAGTAATGGATCTGCATTGTTGGATTTTGTTCACTTTTGTTCATTTCGGATCCGCAGCTGAAAATCGGAGCAACGTTTTGGAGGTAATGGCTGGTATTTGGAACGTCGATGATCTAGATCTTCGATTTCTTGGAATTTGACCGTGGATTTCTTTTTAAAGTGCTTCTACGTTCAATAGTTTGGTAGACCGCAACAGCAAGCTAAATTCATCGTCATCGCCGATTCTCTGCCAAGAGATTGAGGTGGTCGTCGATTTTAGAGCCAAAATCAGGTGTACAATCTTGGATTCAGCAGGTGAAATTCAAGGTGATGGATCGTTTTGCATGGTTTTCTATTTCAATTTCTACGGGTAGTCTCATTAGTGGAAGATCGACGGAGAAATGTTACGCTGGGTCTACCTGTCCTCGCCCACTCGATATCCTGGATCTCTAACCCCGTCAAAGGTTTAGAGTTGCAGTTGATCTTACTTTTCTAATTATTCCGTCGCATAGGCTGAGGGTTCAAGCTGTAAATCATGTAGTCTACGAAGGAAGTCAAAGGTGACAGGGAGGCCTTGGCTCCAATTAACTTGGGATAGATTTTTAGTTTTGTTAAGCCAATTGAGCGTACGAGTTTGGGGTCCTCATAAGACCACGAGATCATGAATTGAATAACTGTTATATACGAGTTATCAGAATCACGACCTCGTAATCTTAAGAAGGTGCACGAAAGCTAACTGTTTGAAGTGGGATAGATCCTGAAGGTTTTTATTCATACATGCAGCGAAGTGATTTTTTTGCATTCTACTCATCTAAACGGAAGATTTTTCTAATTTTTGAACCGTGAACTTGCTAGTAAGCCTCAACCTTTTTGTGGCTCTAGTTGATGCTATCTTTTTGGGACAATTCTCGTCAAGAGAAATCTTCTTCTCTTAGATTATTACCGATAATTACTTGCTAATGTTCGAGTATTGCTCTATAGTTCGCATATTGCTGACGGTGGGGCGTGGTTTTCACAGTTGTGGTAGCAGGAACGTCCTAGCAGGATGTTATCAACATCATGCATGATGGTTAAAAATATTTCTCGTTAACATTTCGATGAGTAGTGTGAAAGTTCTGTGGTACCAAAGTGCACCCTTGCGATTTCAAGAGCACACTTCATGTTTTTATGAAATTTTGCAATTCGAATCGGAAGAGCTGCTCCTTTAAGGTGGCATCTCAAGTCATCTACATGACCGTCATTTCATTGTCGAAAACTTCACTGGATAATGACGTACTGAGAGAAATGATATTGTAGTCACAGATGTCTTAGCACATCCCTACTAAGTATCTTGTGACACAGAAGTTGAGGAGATTTCAAATTGTACTCCAGCTGCAAGCATGCTACATGCTTGGAAGTTCCGCTGGGAAGTTCAATGTGACTTCAAGAGAGGTGAAGGGTGCTTATTGCCACAGCTTTGAGTGCATTACTCTAAAGAATTTGAAGTGGTCTTCTAAAGTGGAGCAACAATGCCTCTTGTGCGGTATGAGGTGCGGTGTGAGCACAGTTTGGCCAACCCAGAGCTGTATCGTTCTGCTGCTCGTGATGATCCGGAAAGTCTACTGGAGGGTGTGGCTATGGCGGGACTTGTTGGTATTGTTCGCCAGCTTGGAGACCTCGCTGAGTAAGTTTCTTGTTCTTGCACTAATTATTTTTCTTTTCAACAGTCAGAAAGAAAAACATCTGACATCCTGCATTGGTTGTCGTAGGACTCATTTTTATAGTGTATGTTTGAACTTCATTAAGCCAACAAATAAAATCCTTCGACTATTTTTATCTTTTATTAACAATATCTGCTGTTGTACTCACAGGGTTCAAAGGAAATGCTAATCTACAGAATCACTAAATAATGTAGAGCAACCCTACCATCATGTAGAAGTCGGAATAATGTCTTATGGACAATTTTCTTCCCAATTGTAGTGGCATGCAACGGATGGATGTACATAACGTTTAAATATGCACAAATTTAGTTTCATGGGACATCTGGAATCGGTTGTGCTTGGCATTTACGTTGCAAAATCACTCCCATGTCCGACACAAGTTAATTATCAGCTTTGGCTGACGCCAGTCTACTGTAAGTAAATATTGTTTGGGTGTGTCATGAACAGGTTCGCAGCAGAAATATTCTGTGGCCTACATGACGAATTGATGACCATAGGATCACGAGGTCATGACTTGAATATGCGAGTGCAGCAATTAGAGGATGAGCTACCTGTTGTGGAAAGGGCTTTGCTTTCAGAGCCAAACCAGCTCCGGTTCGCCTATACCACTGGTACGTCGACTCAATTTTAGAACACATATAGATAGATAGATAGATAGATAGATAGATAGGTAGATTTTTTTGTGTGTTTGTGCGTGTTTGTGTGTAATTTCACGCCCTTCAGATTCTAAACTATTTCACATATCCTGCTGTTGCAGGGGCTGATTGGCATGCCAGTATACGCAGCGATCAGAACCACTGTACCTCTGGTGATTTACCACGATTTGTGCGCAACTACTACGAAGACTGTCGAGGGCCTCCCCAGCTTTTCCTACTTGACAAGTATGCGTGTAACCTTGTCTGAATTTTAATTTACAACAAAATTTGCATGATACAGTATCTAGCTGACAGCATTTTCGATTCTTTTAGGTAAGAGATTAGACGTGATGCAGATTCAAGTTATGTTCGTTCCGATTAGACATCCTCTTGATTGGTGTCTTCTAGTTTCTTAGTTGTCCAAATTTACTGTTCTTTATCTAATAGAAGTCATGTCACAGTTGGACTCATGCATACTCTTGATCTGGTGACAGGTTCGATGTGTCTGGAGTTGGAGCTTGCTTGAAGAGGTACACAGATCCTTCTTTTTTCAAGATGGAATGGGCTAGTACTGAGTTGTTAAGAGCTCAGCGAGAGCAGCGTGACAAGAAAGTTCGTAAAGAAAGGGTAAGAAGCGATCGCAGATTTGATTCCACCTCACTACAGTAGGCTGTATTTTACAGTTGAGATGTCTCCTTGGTTAATTCGAGAGCTGTTTATAAATTTATTTTTTCTTATATACGTTGATTTTAAGTACAAACATCTACTCTGCTTGCATGTCTGGAATACGTGGATTCAAGTTAGGTCGTGTACATACAGTTGATTCCACATATATTCTGATGCTCAATACTTGATGTTGTGACAGAAAAAAGGAATGCGACGCAAGTCTGGACAGCCAGTGGCTGCTATTAATAAAATTCCTGCCAGGTCCGTTTTTCCTTCTTCGTCACCCTTATAGACAATGATATTAGAGTAGTTGTTTTTGCTTTTCCGTGAAAGAGTGGTTGAGGGGCGAATCGTTTGGACATGTAGTTGATCATAGACAGTCAAGCATTTTTTTTGTGTAAGTACTAATGTGAAGGCTTCATGTCCAATTAAGGATTAAAACCAAGTGATCTCATACGCAGGGTACGGTATGGTTCGGCAAGCCTGGAGGATTTGGAAGGACTTCCTCATGATTTAGCATCTGTTTTGAAAGTCGAGGATCCAGCACCTTCACATCCAGGTGCCAGTCGCGGATCTGGTCCGTTACCACCTGAAGGTGTTCTGCGTGGTTCTGAAGATATGTTGGTTAAAGATTCATCCATACCTGCGTTAAGACCTATTCAAGTTTTAGCAAGTTCACACATTTCTTATGTGAAGAAGTCTTCCAAAATCAGTAGTGAGGATTCTGAAAGTGCTAATGTGGCTTTGGATGTTCTCAGTACCAAGGGTTTGAAATCTCTAGATGGGTTAGGAGATTCTGCTGACAATAATCAAATTTTGCATGCGGATTTTAAAGAAACAAATGAGGCTTCACAAGAGGATTCTGGAGTATTGGCTAGATCTCGCTCAGTAAGAACCCCAGTAGGGACACCCAAGGGGACTGCAAGGAGTGAGTTCACTATGGAACATAGGGAAGGAGAGAAATCTTCAGGTAGCACACCACGTAGGACAGAGTCCCCTATGCTTATGAGATATTTTTCTAGAAGAAGCGTTTATGCGGATGCGCAAGATTCCGTACTCTTTTCAGGGAAGTTTTCATGGAGGAGGAATTTAGATGGTGATGAAGCATCCCCTTTGGATGGTAGATATTCAATGCAAGTCTCTATGGCAAGGTCAGGCATTTCCGGGAGTGAATACGATGATTTTGTCGATGCACAATCTAGAATAGGATCCGAAGGTGAGTCCGATTTTGATTCCCCTGTAAGTGTTCAAAGAGCGACACATTTCGATGGAGATGAGCTCAACCATGCAGCCTTGAAGAATCACGTTGAAGCTCAGAAAGCATACATGCCACCAGGCATGGAGCTCATGGATTATCAACAATCTACACCTACACCTGGAAAGTTGTCAGAAAACTCAGATGATGTTACTCAGAGGAAGGATGTCCAACCTACAGATAATGGCAATGGCGCGGTTCCAAAAAGTTCGTCTATTTCTACTATATTATACGAGGGTTCTACTGCATCCTCAGTTTCATCCGGCCAATCTCATATCATTGCTGGTGTTGCCATTGTCCGGGATCAGCAACCAGGACCTCCGAAAACAGACAACCGTTCTTGTGAACTCTTGAGGGGTCATGGGAATGGAAACTTAGATTCTTATGTTCAGGTAGTCCCGGCTTTGGCTATTTCTGAAGGACCAGATGAATCTAATCTGCTGTCGACTGCCACTAATCCGACTTCCACCTCCTTAGGCTCTTCGTCAAGTGTTACAATTCCAACTCATGAAGGATGCGATGTATTGCAGCCTAGCTTTTCCATGTTCCATCGCCATTCTATTTCAAGTGAGCTGATTTCAGTGTCTAGTGACTCAGAACCGCCTTCTCCTCCATCACCACATTCTCCTGCCTTCCACACCCTCTATTCACCTCGAGAATTTCCCCCAAGGGCGTCGAATAACGAAGTGAATTCTCTACTCATATCCTCTCTGAGACCTTGTTCGCCAGGAACAAAAAAGTCCAACCTCAGCAGTCCTTCTTTAGGAGAGGTTCCTGTGCTATCCGAATCACCTATATCTTTTCCAAGATCTCCCCACCATGCTTTACCTGTAATGAGCGATCCCCCAGTTGCAGATGTTCCTTTAAAGCCTGAGCCAGCCCGTCTTCCTAGTCGACCGGGAGTCCAGCTCTACCCTCTCCCTACACCACCTATGGATACTGAACTGGATAATATCTCGAATTCTAGAGAATTGAGTTACGCTGTACCTAAAGTCTTTTGTGGGCCTGATATTCTTGGAAAGCATGGAGAATCAGCACGCACTCTACCTGCTGATGAGGGTGATGTCCACCCCGTGCTGAAGTCGAGTCCAACATCAGTGCACGACACTGTGACCGCAATGAATGAACGTGCTGGTCGTTGTCAACCAGTGCCGCTTCCTGTAGTCAGTTCAAATGGAGGCGACATTCCCAGATCTCCTCAATGTGGTACTCCTTGGTATCCTGCATTTTCTGAATCAACGATACCTTCTTCAGGACTTTATCCACGCACCAGCGGTAGTCCTGGATCAAGTGTTCCCTCCAGTCCTTTAGGAAGTCCTGAGGAGAGTTCTCAGGGAATTCCCCTGTCAATTTCAAGTGCACTAGCCACACCTAATCCTCTCGGAGGTTTTGTGTATGAAGCTTCTTGCAATTCTTCTCAAAGGGATGAAAGTAGCGCACCTTCGAGTCCCTCAGGTAGTGTCATCATCAGAGATAGCCCTCCAGAGAGTCCTCTATCAGCTTCAACTGGTAGCGACTTTGAAAGTGGTGACTTTGATGCTATACAAGGTCGGCCTGAAACGTCTGGTTCAGCTGGATTCTTTGGGCAAGTGAAGAAAGAACCACTCTTCAAGCGAGAGGGCTGTGTTGATGTAGCCCCATCAATTGTGAGAGTGAAATCCAAATCACTGCAGGCTGCATCAAGTCCGGAAAAAACTGAGAGCTTACTTTCTGTCTCTACTTCAAATTCCTCAGAGGTGGCTGTGGAGATCTGTTCCAAAGTTTCCTTGAACAATGCTGCTACAAATGGCTCAGCAGATCATTCAGTTTCTCAAGAGGTATTCACGGCAGCATTTTTGATGTGGAATTTGTGACCTGCAACATGCTTGCTACTAACGCCCCTGTCTTTGAGGCTTGAAAGTCACTGTATTTCCTGCATTTGGAGTTCATAATTTGCAATTCTTCCCCCAACTTTCTCATGTTTGTTATGTAATCTTGCTGATTTATTTAACATTCCCTGTTCTGTTGATTGTCAGGAAATTGTTTCATCTCGTTGTTCATCCCCTAGGCCACAGGTTAATCCCCTACCTGCTACTTTGAAGCACATCTCAACATCAAGATCAAGCACCAAAGCTTATACGACATCAAGCTCTCCACCAAGTTCGCCTAGAAGGGAAGAACAATCCTCAAACGTTCAGTGGCGTGAGAAAGCGGTGCCTCCTACCACACCCCCCAGAGCTGCGTTCAAACTTCCATATAATCCACCGTTGCGGTCACCGCTACGTTCGCCGTTGCGCTCGCCCTTACACACACCTAGATCTTACTTCTCGGAGACTGGTTCTTTGAAATGGCTTGGCCGAGTGGATCCTGGGCTTTCTCCTAAACCGAATTTTTCACTTCCTCCAAATCTTGTGTGCCACTCTGGTACCAGCTCACCAACTTGTTCACCTCACCCACAGCTGGATCTGGATTCACCTACAAAGAGTAACATTATGTCAGAAGCTTCGGAGGATTTGGGTTCTGCGTGTGCCACCGTAGTACATCAATACAATGGAGATGAGAACGAGGAAGAACATGATCTTCCAGACTTTCCCAATCATCCAGCCTCAGTGTCTATTGTGGATGATAACTTATCCTATAAACGCGTTGTTGAGGATGACTACGAAGATGATTATTTGGCACCTAATGAGCCTCAAAGAGTGGTACGCAGTGCAACAAGTTGTTCAAGCCCATCTCAGGTGTCAACTTGTTCTCTCAAGGATGTTTCTTCTTCCGAAGCAGTGTGTCTGGAACCTCGTGTCGTTATCAGAGTACCAGAAGTCGAGCAATTACCTGTGCCAGCTGCGAGTGAAGTTGATGCAGATGATGCAGCTCACTTTCTCGAGCAGGCAAAGGTGTCATCTCGAGGAGCTGAAGATCTTCGAGAACTTGCACTTTCAAGAAATGCAGACACGGAGGTCTGGTATTCGGACAGCAAACAAACGTCACCGCCCTTTAGTGAGGGAGCAGGGATCAATCTCAATCTTGAAGATGCGAACGATTCTCGTGGTAGCGCGGCGGTTGAATGTGATCAAGAACCATCACCTACTCGGTGGGAAGTGGCAGAGAGAATTCACAAATCCTCTAATGAGGCAGGCGTTTGTGCCACTAATTATGGCAATGACAAATTTTCATCTTCTTCATCTAAGGAGGCAGCTAGAAGTCACGTCTACGTTTCTGTAAATGCAGCAAATATTTCAAATGGTGGAGCACAGTCCCATGAGCAGGCAGTACCTTTTCTCTCGACTCCACAGCTAGACAACGGCAATGAATCAATTATCTTCCATAGAACAGATGCAAAAGCAGAAGCTGAATCAATGGAGTCTCTTGAGTTAGGGAAGTCTTCCAATATCCAGGATGCTCTGGCAGCTGCCATTGCACAACATAACAGAAATATGGTAAGGCCCCAGCAATGCTAAAGTAGCTTCTTGCCGTTAATCGAGTGTCTGATATTTACAGGTTTTATTTGCTTCTGGGTCGAAACCGCCAATTCGACAATCTGGATTTTCAAACTTTATCTGAAAGATGATGCCTACCACTAAAGACACTAAGTTAAACTTTTTCTTTTAACTGTAATTGCAGCTCAAAGTGCGTGGGTTCGAAGAACATGCATTAAGGCCTCCACCACCTCCTGATGAAAGAACATTGTTTCTCGATCAAATCAGTAACACGGTAAGTGGCATTACTTTGTAATGACTTCACCTTGCTTCCGTATTGCTCTAGTAGTGCATAGCATATGCTTGTTCGATTCTCTTTAGTTTGTAACGTTCCATCATGTATTGCAGTCATTCAATCTTAGCCGTCCTGAAAGCGTGGAGAAGAAAAAATGTGTTCTTCGGTCAGGGACAAATATTAACGTTGCTGCTATTCTAGAGAAGGCGAACGCTATTCGACAGGTACTTCTCCACCTTCGTACAATCTGAATTGAATCAGAGGTGCTCTGTTCAGCAGATTTTGCAGTTACGGAGGGCAGTTATCTTCTCATGAAGAACGCTTTTCTATCGAGTGTCGCTCTTATTCTTGTAACATATTTGTATACTCGTGCTAAGAGTAATTTGTATGTAGACTCTGAGATTTGTTTTGTCCTATCATTGTTTGTTTCAAATTAGCTGAATGTGCGGTTGGGATTTTGTACCCAACACTGTCATCATACTTCGATAATTTGACTGTCGGATGTTGAAGATGACTCGTTGAAATGACCAACTGCGGATTTAGATCTGAATACTTAGCATTTGGATTTAAACCAAGCGTATTGCCAGATCGCTCGATAATTTCGTGGTCTCACTCACTTGCCTTTCATTTCGTAGGCTTTTGCTGGGAGTGACGATGACGACGATGAGGATGATTGGAGCGATTCGTAGATCTTTTTAAATTTGAACATTATTTATACTGCTACAATTCAAAACTTGGGTCCTTTATCTTGAACCCTTCGTTAGCATAGATTTGCTGTAGGACCATAAAATGCACTTTCAGAGATAAGTATTATTTCCTTTTTTGGGTGGCATTTACCTTGTGATTCTTGGCCATTCCTCGACAGTACAATCTTGCCATATTCTCTTATCCTGCGGGACTGAATAGTGAAGGCGCTTGAAGGTGGGCTGTATCCACATTTCCTTCTTTTTTACGGATGAAGAGACATTAAGAACTTGCAGCTTGAAAATGCTAGCCCCAAGTTCTACGCTTTCATTAAGAACTTTTCTGCCTTACGGATGGGTTAAGACTTCTGGAGTAATCCAGCGGTTGGTTCAGTACACTAACTGTGCAATTAGTATACAAGGTGTTCCAAGCTGTGGAATGATTTTCAACCTGGACGTCGTGGACAACATGGTCCATATCGTCGTCATATGGTTGCTCTATCCTTGGAGTATCTGGTGTTGTATATCTTTGAGGATCCACGATATTTTCTTGTGTTGCAATTGCAACACTTTAAGTAAAGTTGACAGTTACCTCTTATCTTTCGCAATTTCGGCTTTCGTTGAGGAGAAAACGCAACTTTCCATCATTGTAACATTTGTTTCCACCGTTCAATAGAATCGATCTGTTTGTTTTGCTGTTTCTGGGATCCAAAAATCGTTCGCGTGTCCGACTAGAATATGGTCGTTATCATCCGCAGAAATGTTTCACGAGTGAACAATGCAGTTGTTTTTTCCACAGCAAGTCGATCGTCTAGCCCTTGCCCACCTCCACCAGACCTTGATATTCGTTCGTCAAGGTTCGCACGTACTCATGATCTCGAAAAGGTTGACAACGAGCTGAGCCACAGAAGGCAACAAACCTGGTTCCCGGAAGTGCCGAAGGTGTGCATGATGGTGCAATGCTGTATGGAGTGGTATTGATGATCGCAACAATCAGTGCTCGCTTCGCATCTCAAGGAAGGGTATCACGTGGGTGCCCTGGCAATTCAGATGTTCTTATGTGCGTTGCACAAATGTCCTGTAACTTCTGCGTATGTACCTGATAAATAACCTACAGTGTAAGTATCGAGATCTTTGCTCTGATTACATGCAAACTTCAATTCTCAGATGCATAACTGGAAATATACACAGTATTAGTACTATAAATTGCTCAGAGAATCACTAGAACGCATTTCGTGACTTCACAGCATCTTGTCATATCTTCAAGTGAAAGCCAATTTGATCCTTGAGTTGGTCAGACCTTGTGCAGACTAGCATTTTGCCTCTCTGGTCTCTTGGCTTTTATGTTTTAACTGTACAGAGGAGGTCGGTGACAATGGTGACTGCCTCGCCACATGAATCGTATGAAAAAACTTCTTCTGAAACAAATCACACTTTTGTCCGGTGAGCTGTATGGAACATGGTTAATATCGGCTGTCATCCTGATCCATGCTCAGATCAAAGCTTTTCACATGTTCGTCTCACGCTTGCTACTAGTGTCGATTGATTGAATCCTCCTGCTTCTTGCAATGTGCAATATTTCGACCAATCGGATGGAACTACACTGCACATGATCTAGAAGTTTTTGTCCGGTGGTCATCCACAACGTTCATATTAGGTTTTTCAGGAGAGGTGGTATAAACTGAAAGGTATTGCAATGTTTTTGTTTTGGGTTAGACATCATGGACACGAGCTCCAAGTTTCTACCTCTCGCTATTCCGTTCATTTCGTGCACCCGGATGACGTAGTCTGCGATTTAGGGTTCTGTGCTCTCAAGAACAGTCCTGTCTTAGCTGTGCCTGGTTTCAATTATGCATATTCGTTCTGCTGAACAGGCGATTCGCGACTAGATCCATCAAGCGAAGTCTTCATTGAGTTTTTGTGTATTGAAACTCTCTTTGATGCTCCTCCATCTATTGAGTTCTGCAGCATCATACTTGAATTCTTAAAATCATGAAGCGAGCTGCCCTGGTTCAACGTCGGGAGCGCCAGAAAGTACAGACTGTGTCTTGTCCATGCTGCGAAGCGCGCCTCGCATTGCACTTCATAAATGGAGAGAATGCGGTGTACGATGTGACATTATTGGGGACTACGGTAGATTCGCAACCACATGACGGCAAACTATCCAGGTACATCTTGTCTGTCTCACAACACAAATTCCGCTCCCTTCTGCAATGTCAGGGCTCTAATTTTACTAACACTATACTCTGTTTTTCGACGAGACATCCTGAATTGGGTCGAAATTTTTATTTTCTATTTCGTGTAAAGAATGGAAGCAGCTGGGCAAGATTTTAAGGACGCAACAACGGCGCATCGAGTGCATGATGAAAAGGATAGTGGCAACGAGGTATGTGCTGGATTTGAATGGCATTTGATAATCTTCAACCCATAGAATCGCAATGCCAATATTTGACCAGTTTTTTTAAGTCCAGGTACAGGCATATATCCTGGAAACTTCCGCAACTGATACTCTTCTAGATAAGGAGATGAGAGAAATCCAGCCCGAGAAATCGCGTCCAGAGGAGGTAAACCAAGGTGCCTTGTCTTAGAGAGGACTTGAAATGTTTGTGTACACGTCCCTTTATTTGAACATCTGGTTTTGAACCTCATGTACCGCAGGCGAGCTCCGTAATTAGGTTTGTGCTCATCCGGCGAGATGGGTGGATTGGTACTCATGCAGGACAAGAAGCATTTGTGTCTACAGTCTACTGTGAAAACGAGTGGAGACGGTCCTGGAAATTCCAAGCTCTTTTCGCTATTTTACCGATCTAAAAAGGTGCAAGTGCAATTTTCTTTGTTGATGTAGAAGGCAACTTTCTCTTTTTCCAGATAATAGTTTCTCTAAGTTGGGCAAAAGAATCTTACTATTTGCACTTGCGTTTTGGTGATGCTAATTATTGCTAATTTCAATTGCTATGCTAGATAATAGAAATACGATGTAGCTAATCATACATTTCTCTCCCTGCAGACTGTGCATTTAGTTCGGCATGGGCACACATCTTCGTTGATCAGTCTTGTGGAACCCTCGGCCAGGTTCGACTTACGGCTCACGACACTTGGGCACCAACAGGTTGGCATTTCAGTGAATTTTTATTGAAAGCTTCGTATCAAAGTTCTACGCATCTGTTTCTAAATTGGTCAACCGTGATTGTTTTGTAGGCAAGGAATATAGCACCTAAGATGGCGGCGCTCAAACCCGAAGTGGTGAGATTGTAATTAAGGAGAGCAAGTACAAAAATTGCTAGAATTTGTTTTCTAATTTTACACCGCAGTTTGTAAACCCTGTTGGATAGAAATGTATGTACCTTGTATTTGTACATTCATGGACCTTGCACTTGTTCTCCAAATATGAAAAGATTTGCTGGGTTTGGCCATGTGTTGCGCTCATGATGTGGCACGCAGATTTTGGTGTCACCCCTTACTCGAGCACTACAAACGCTTTCTGGTGCATTTCCATCTATTCAGGTACAAACACACTTCATAAAGGATTCATTAATCCTCAGGTTATTCGGACGTCAGCTTGCATTCAGTTCAACAATTACTCATGGTTTCATGTACCCAGGAACCAGGCCAACACCACGTTGAGGTGACTCCACTCCACGCTGAGCATGTCATGTGCACTGGCGACATTGGCCGGCCTCCAAAGGTAACAACTTGCTTCTCCCTAATTTATGTATTTTTGTATGTATTTATTTTTCTAATTATCTTCAAATTATTTATTTTATGGCATGTTTCGCTCTATTAATAGCTGGACAATAATTAGCGAATGCTGCAACATTTCAAGAGATGTTAGGGGATTTGGCAAATGTAAACTTCGTTAGAAGTTGCAGATTCTGGCAGGAGAGTTTCCTTGGCTATCTTTTGATGGACTCCCTGAAGTCTGGTGGTACTCACAATCGGAGCATCCAAATGATGCTGTCAGGATGGAGTTCAACAGCGTGGAACCTATGGGTCAGTCGATTGCTCGTGTTGCAGACTGTATCGATCGTACTATTTCCCTTTGGAACTGTTGTTGTGGTTTATGTTATCATCTTTTCCATCTGAATTCTCTGTCAACTTGTACAGAAGAGTTGCGCAAGCGAGTGGGTGTCTTTAGGCAATTTCTGCGTTCAAGGCCAGAGAATATTATTGTCGTCATAGGACATTCAACCTTCTTTAAGGTGCGCAGGATTCTGTGTGCACTCTCACTCACTTCTTTTTTCTTAGAAAAAAACAAAGTAGTCACCCGATTACAAATCTGAATTGGTATGCATTTAGAATAAGTTTTGCATGTAGAGATCAATCTGTACCCGCTGGTAGAGGAATGATCGTTTATGGAATCTTCAAGCATCCAGCAAACTCCCAACCCTTGTTTGTATCGGCCGTTCTCACAGGAGCTCACCAGCAGCCGGCAGCGCCTGATGAACTGTGAGACCCGAACGATCTTGCTCTGATTTTCCAAGCCTAATTTTCCAAGAACATCTTCTCATCGACTGGCATCGTCGTTCAACTATTTCCTGATTCTGGTATTGTCTGTGTTCCTTCACACAGCAGTCTTCACATCTAAGTGCCATGGGTTTTGAAGACACCAAGTTTGGCTGTTGATCCAGGTGAATGAAATCAGTCTCATTATAGTCTTTCGTGCTACTCTGTTTGAGCTCTGGATTCTTCATTGTCAAGCATGAGCTTTGGATTTACTCACGGCTCAAATGACTGAGAAACGATTTCCAAAACAAACCATACTTTGATGGTGGTAGAAAGCATCCGTTTAAATGGAGCCCCACCTGTTGCAAAGATTGTGATAAACCTATCAGTAGGCCATAAATCACATATGTACTGTTCCCACTAATTTTTTCCTCAAATATCATAGTTTCAGTCAACATCATTCACATTTTTGTTATATTGATTTTGGTAATCACATCATTGTTGTTTTCTTATTTAAAAAATATATAAAATGAATATAAGATGGTATATGAGAATTTATTAAATCAATTTGACAATTTGGTAGAGTTTTCACTTATGCTCATAGTGTAGTGATTATTTTGAAACAAAATTAAAAATGTGTAAATTTTGTGTGTCTGGAAGTAACATATTACATATAGCACTTTATATACAAACATGTTATATTTGAATCTTCTTGCCACTTATAATAGAAGATTTGACTTTGGTCTTATGTTATTTTAGGAAATAAGCCATTCAATATCAAAGAATGTGATTATTCTAAGCAATAAAAGCACTTTAAGCTATAGTTCATCAATGGTTAGGTGGGAGGAAGAAACTAATTTCCCAACTAATCTTTCAAATCTCTCATTATTTGAACACCTGAGTGTTAATTGTTTATGTTGTGAAATATGCATATATTGTAACCAGCAAATTAGCAAATATTGGATCCTCAATCCATGCAATTGTAAAGGGTAAAGAGTGGGTATCGACGGAGGCCCAATGTGCTAGAAAGAGACTGAACCACAGGCATCCTCGCATTTTCCAACTCAGTAACCGGGAAATGAATCTCCAGAATTATAAAATGAATAAAAAGCGAGCACCAATGCTATGACTCACGTACAGAAAGGGACACACTCCAAGAGGCAAGGAAGTAGCACTGGAATGGTGTGAGCAGACAGGGGCGAGCACCCAACTGGGAAAGGAAATGAAGGCTGGGAAGGGAGGCTGTTCACATTCATTCATTTAGAGTGGGTGTGGGTGGGGAGTGTGGGTTTGTGACTGAAGGGTGGGAAGGCACGTTTTCGATGGCGTATCGGCAATGAGTCCCCCGTCAAAGCCGAGGAGGAGGAGGAGGAGGCGCCACAATTATCCACTCTTCGGTGCAAATCGGCATTCCCAAGTGTCCCTTGCACTTTCCACCGTCGCTGGAGATACATGCCGCTTCTAAAGTTGGGTGAAGTTCCGCTTGATCCGAATTGGCGTGAATCCCATCTGTGTTCTGCTTACGTGTCTCCTTCAAGTGGTGAGCTCTACCCCTAGTGTTGTTGTTGTTATTTTTTTTTTCTTTTTTTTTCTTTTTTTTTTTTTTATAAATTCATGGAGAGCAGTGTTATAGGTGTTGCGTAAGTTGTAACATCACCTTGCGAATTGGATCACGCTTTCGTGGGTGGGTTCTCTTGCAAGAGAATGCTGATCTTTTGTTATCGAGATTGCTATTCCTTGGTACACTTTGTGGGATCTTTCAGTAACAGTGTTGGTTCGGGTTCAGCACTGAGTGAGCGAACTGTGTTAGGTTGTGTCGAGATTTTCGCCGATTGTGTGTATTAGTGTAGGCCTCTGTGTGTTGTTGGGTGTGGTGTTGGGTGTGTTGTAATTGTGTCCTGAGGGCAGTTTGGTAAGTCGATCGTTTTGTGCTTTTCCAGACATGCTCTCTTTTCGTTTTGATTTACGGGATTTAATGCAGTTTGAAGGTACGCTTTGGATTTACGCACGTACATAACATTTTTCTGCTGGCTGTGGTTTTCGCATCGCAGTGATTTGATCAGGAGTGGATTTTCGACATGAGAAAGGTAGTGCACATGGAGGTGGGAGAGGATGGCGTTGCGCTTGTGACCTTGAACAAGCCGCCCGTCAATTCTCTAGATAACAGTGGACCTGGTTCTCGTAAGTCTTGTTCTTGCGAAAAGAAAAGAAAAGAAAAGAAAAAAAAAAAAAAAAAAAAAAATCCTGTTATCAATTTGTACGATACATTTACTTGTTATTTTAGTTGATTGTCGTGTTGTTCTTGAATGGAATTTCTGGGATGGCACTCATCGCAAATTAGAGAAATATTGTCAGAATTAGAGGGCTTTCATGCTTGTGTAATTAAGCAACTGGTTTGCAAATATTGATGGCACTTAATTGACGTGTTCTCTGGCATGGGCTTTTGGTCGGCAGTCGTGTCACAACTGAAGGAATCGATTTGCGAGGCTCATGCGCGGCCAGATGTGAAGGCTATTGTTATCAGAGGTAAATAGCGATGTTGCTTGGAGTTCTTGTATGCTCAAATTTTGCTTGGATAGGAGATGTGATCAAATTGTTCACCCGACTCCAGAAGTTTTGCATGCATCACTCAAATAGCTCGGTTTCTGCTGCAGGAGCAAACGGCAAGTTCAGCGGTGGGGCTGACATTGGTTCATTGCAAAAAGTAAAGCAAGGTTGGCATCGATAATTCATTAGGATCTTTTAGCAATACATTCTGTCCTTGGTAAATGAGCTTGTTGGTGTCTCTTTGATATTCTTACGTTGCGTGTTGTATGTAATTCTTTCAGTGGGAGATGGCACTACCTATCCGACTCATGTTCGTGGTTCAACCTTCTTCAATGACATTATTGAAGGTATACAGTCTTTTTTTCTTGCTTTTAGTACATTTCTACTTGTTTGACCTACGCATTATAGTAGAGGTATTTAAGTTTGTGATATGAAGATCTGTATTACTGGCATCACCTGTGCTAGACATGATGCAAAGTTCCATTATGAAGCTGTATCTCTTCCTGTCTCACTTCTCGTTTACCGATTGAAACAGGGGGACCTAAGCCTATTGTAGCAGCAGTCGAAGGTTTTGCTCTTGGTGGTGGTTTGGAATTGGCCATGGTACAATTCTGCTTATTCCCTCTTCTCCTGTCTTTTTCTTTATCTTTTGACCTGGCAGGAGTCAAGTAATGTCATTAACTCATACTGCGTGAAATATTGTATATCTCTTGGATTTGATTCTAACTAGGGAAGCAAACTGTCACCTTGTATGTGATCTATTAAGTTCTTTGGTCTAATAGGACATCATCGTGTGAATTGTTTGCAGGCTTGCCATGCACGCATTGCTGCCCCAAAAACACAACTGGGGTTGCCCGAGCTCACACTGGGAATTATTCCCGGCCTTGGCGGTAAGTTGCACCCACCTTTCTTGGTCCTTCTGTGTACTCTACCAACTCAAATGGTTGTTAAACTTGAAGCTTGGAGTCTTCTTGTCTTAGTTTGAAGTTCCTTCAGACAAGAGGTTTGATAGCAGCTATTTTTTGTAGTCTGCTTATATGCTAATTGCTGCATTTCCTATGTTATTTTTACAGGTACCGCACGGCTTCCTCGATTAGTAGGACTCGTCAAAGCTGTAGATATGATGTTGGTACGTCTTGCATCATAAGCTTCAAGTTTGTTCTCTACTGAAAATACTCTGCACGTTGAAATTGATTAATCCTTATTCGGTTAAATATGAATTACCAGCTGCGTTCTTTGATTCCCGCACGTAAATTATCCCCTACCGTACACGTAATTGAAACGCATCTTGTGTCGTAACTTAACAGACTTCGAAGCCAGTAATGTCCGAAGAAGCCAAGCAGCTTGGCTTAGTGGATGCTGTGGTACCTCTTCAGCAGCTTGTACCAGTTGCAAGGAAATATGCACTGGATATTGCTTCTGGGAGGCAAGCTTGGCGGAGATCACTTTCTTTAATCGATCACATAGGTACACCCGAAGAGTCTTCAAAAATTCTCAAGCAAGCAAGAGCACGAGCTCAGAAAGCTTACCGCAATGTGCCTCACCCGTTCGTAATGTTGGACTGCATAGAGAAAGGCATCCTCCATGGGGGCGTGGCTGGCACCTTGAAGGTCCGGTTTATGACGATTGAGACATTCTGTTTTTATTGAGAGCATTACAGTATTGTGGGACTACTTGGCTTTCTTGTATGCCAGAGGCGTGGATTTCTGCAGGAATGATGCTTAGAGGTTAAGATTCGATTTCTGATCTGTGAAGTTTTCGTGTACAGGAAGAAGAAGAATCTCCTATGTTGGTAGCAAGCCCTACAGCCAAGGGACTGATTCATATCTTTTTCGCCCAGCGGTCTGCATTTAAGGTTTGTTCATTACCCAAGTTTCACGATTTACTGGCGAGTTGGGTATACTCTTGATCATCTGTAAGCAGTTCTTAATTTATGTTATCTTGTCTTGTTGTGGATGCTGTCAGTTGGTACAACTGATATAGTGTTGACCTTCTTGCAGATCCAAGGTGTCACAGATAGTGGATTAAAACCACATAAAATGAAGTCCGTGGCAGTTATAGGCGGTGGTTTGATGGGCTCTGGAATCGCAACTGCCCTTGCTCTTAATAATGTCCCAGTAATATTGAAGGAGGTCAATCAAGAGTTTCTTCAAGCTGGACTGAAGAGAATTGAAGGTATCGCTTATTTTTAGACATCTTTGCATTGTTTGACACAATGATCCACGGGTTTGGTGACTTGGTATGTTTGTGTGCTTTCTTGATCTAGATTAAAATCTACGTGTCTGGATTCATTCGTTCTCTGTTCCTGTGAATATCCTGTCTCAGTCTAATCAGCTGCTGATGGGCTAATAGACATGTTAATTGTATTTTCTGTGAATTCTGTTGACTCTCAGGCGTTTCTCCTAGCCCGGTTATTTATATCCATTGATTTTTGCAATGAACAGCTAATGTTAATGCCCGATTGAGGAGTGCATCTGAGAAGGCTCAAAAAGTGCTGAGTTTTGTGAAGGGAACCTTGGACTATGCAGACTTTTCAGATGTTGACATGGTTATCGAGGTATCATATCTGCACGTGTTCCATGCTCTGCACGTTATGCCACGTCTGCTCCACTGTGATGATCTCATCAGCTATACAAGCAGTTTTTAACCCTGTTGTCGACGGCTTGGGGTGTGTGGACAGGCTGTTATTGAGAGTATTCCGTTGAAACAACAGATTTTCGCCGATTTAGAGAAATACTGTAAGTCTACATGCCTGCTGGCATCAAATACGTCGACCATAGATCTTGGTCTTATTGGTCAGAAGACGAAATCACAAGACCGAATTATCGGGGCTCATTTTTTCAGGTTTTCTTCCCATCGCTTCGCTTAACTATTTTCTATCAGTTCGTGAGGATTTCTACTTGTAATAGCTTCTTTGACACCGGGTTTCTTCCGCTGCAGCCCTGCACATGTGATGCCACTTCTGGAAATAGTGCGAACACACGATACCTCGAAACAAGCTATTCAAGACATGTTGGCACTGGCCAAGACTATCAAGAAAGTGCCCGTTGTTGTAAGGAGCTGTGTAGGTTTCGCAGTGAATCGTATGTTTTTCCCTTACTTTCAAGCTGGACATCTGCTGGTGCATTTGGGGACCCACCCATACCGGATCGATGCCGTTGTGAAGGCATTTGGCATGCCTATGGGTCCCTTCAGGTATCACTTCTGAAGCATCTTGGTTCTAGTCGTGACCCCTTCTGTGTCAGTGTGTTTTAACACAGGATTTAGTGAACATGTGACATTCTTGTCAGCTTCATTTGTTTCTCCTCGTTCTTTAGGTTTAACTTATATACGTCTTTGGCCTTTCAGGTTGGCAGACTTGACAGGTATCCAGATTGGTCAAGCGACATCAAGAATATACAAAGATGCTTTCGGCGAACGGACATACCAAACGAATCTCAATGACCTGCTACTAGAGGACAACCGCTATGGCAAGTGACATAGCCACATTCTGTCCACCTCGGCATGGATCCTTCTTTTATGAATTCGTAGCATGGTAGTGTACAATCAGATGTGACCGTTAATTTACCATGTCGTATTTTTGTGCAGGTGAACGGACTGGAATGGGATACTACAACTATAAGAAAGGCTCTCGCGCAGAGCAACCTGCACCGGAGTTGGATGGCTATTTGACGAAGACCCGTCAAGCTGCAAGCCTCATTCCCAATGGCAAAGTACTGTTCGAAACTGAACATAATCTATTGTGTTACTATTCATTCCTTGGCTTTTCAACACTGCTGATGTGACTTTTTTAATCTTTGGTTTTAATTCTTATTTATTTATTTATTTACTTAGTTGGGTCTTGCTGTGTCTGCAGATAGTTGATATTTCAGACGAAGAGATAGTGGAGATGATATTCTATGGTGTGGTGAACGAGGCTTGTCGGGTACTGGACGAGGATGTTGTCGTGCGCTCCGCTGACCTTGATATTGCCTCCGTCTTGGGCATGGGTTTTCCAGCGTACAGGTACTGGTCTTGCACCTTTTAATCTATGAACTTATCTTATATTTTAATTAAATCTGTTCTATTGTCTGTTTACAGATGTTAGAAACGATTGGAAACGAGAAGCAGCTAATTTTTCTGCAAGGGTTATGAAGTGGATATGAATTTCGTGGCATGTGCCAGGGGTGGTGTGGTATTCTGGGGTGATCATGTTGGCGTGGAGCGTATCTACTCGAAACTCAAGCACTGGTCGACTCTATACGGATCTTTTTATCAGCCTTCCGCTGCATTGGAAAGGGCTGCTCACGGGAAATACCCACTGGTAAGTGTTGATTCAATCCCCTCTGGAGGAGGAGCTCAAATTCCAGCAACTTTCTAGATTCATGTTTCTCCGGTTATTATTTTCGGACGACCTCTTCGTCTGTGTCGTAAATCCTTTCTGTGTTTTCTTCTTATGGGCTTATTTCTGTTTTGGATGGGTGAGTGCAGTCACAAATTGTGGAGAAAAGATCCGGAGCTTCCCGGCTGTAAGGGATCTGCGTTGTAGCGCCAGTATCAGTTTTCTAAGATAGCCATCCTAGTCCAATTTTCCATGAATCTTCTTCCTGTCGAAATCATTGTTCCAAATGCTCCCACTACAAACAAGAACCAAAGAATAAAAAACTGAAAGATGCGATGTCTTCCTAATGCCTCCATTGCTTCACACCTTGATTTGCAATCCTACTCACTGTTCAGTATCGCCAGGAGCTCCTTGTCTCAGTCGATGAGTTGCAAAACAGGGTTTTTATAGAGACGCACGTACAGACGGAAATATACTAAAACTGAATATTATTCTTGAACCAGAAGTTTTAGTAAATAAATGATTGTAAATTCGTATAAATTTATTCATACATATATACATACATATATGTATGTATATATATATATATATATATATATATATGTAGTGATTTAACTTAGAGTCAGTTCAATAATATTGATTATGCATAATATATCACTTCTGCTTAAATCTGCTCACTTCCCCCACATGTGGGATCATGGGCATAGACCCACAGCGAGAGAGTTCCAGTTCTTCACGCAAGTTTGAGGGAACCTCGGTAACTCCGCCCGCAGCATGACGTTTGTTCAGAGTGGAGACTTTTTTTTACAGCTGATGAGACTCAAGGCCCCACGTCAGACTCGACTGATCACCGGGATCCGAAATACTCAAGTCATCGCGATAGGAAACATGAACCTCAGAAGCCATGCCCAGGTTCTGCAATCATTCCTCGAGTTAGTGAAGCTCCAGCACCGGTACCTCGATTCAGTTTTACTTGCTGAGCAGAATCTTCATGCTAAGGTAAGAATCTGTAGCTTATCCTGCACTTCGAAGTGGTGAAAGCTGTAAGCTGTAAAACCTTCCAGGCCTAGAACCTGGGACCAGACTCCACCTAGCCATCGCTGCGATGGCATCGAAGACCAATCCCATCAGGTTTGTGTCGGAATGGGAGAGCTAATACGCTCTGATTCACATCAAGAAATGTACACAAAGCATCGATCTTAAGGACTGAACCACCTTGTCCAATCTGAAGCCTGGGATTCAGAAGCCTAGTGGCCTTTAGGAATAAGTCAGCCCCTCGTTGCTCAACAGTTGAGTATGCTTGATTCGTCCTTATTCTGGCTCCTGATCGAGCTATTGATGCTAGAGTTGCAGGTCTCCTAATTTACATCTCCTTCATAGTCGATGTTCCTTAAGAGGAAATTTTCTAACAAAAATTACATTCAGCCTGGCCTAAAATCCGTATAGGATGAACTCGGACTTGAGTTATCATCCCACAAACATCTTGTGGAGATCACGTCACTTGTTCAGAAGAACCAACAAACGGACGTGCTGTTCGACCGAAGTTTGCACAAGATCATTTAAACATAAATCGACAAGTTGGGAAAGAAATGTGAAGCTTGATAAACTGAGAAACGAATCACTGCTATTGATACACCGGAAGATTAATCCAAATGACAATGATAAACCGTTGGCATATTCTTGTTCATATGTTTGCAAGGGAATACGTCATCAGACAACTTTTTAAAATTCAGACACTGTCGCTGATCTCGTGATATCCTAAGTCGAGTCCTAAGCTTATGAGAAGTACATACCCAACCTTGGTCGCATGCATGAGTCTATGGTTTGGGTTGAGACAATGCTGTGACTATTGCTTGCAATCTTGCTATGAGGTCATCTGTGTCCATCCCTGTTCCATAAACAAATCTTGAGTTAAATATATCTGCAACACGAAAAACACGATTGTCCCAACATTCAACACAAATACTTAAGAGAAGAATGAGGTAACATACCTGGGGGGGAACTCGTGTTCAACTTCTCTGAATCGTTAATGACATACAAGTTGTCGTTTTCTCGGATGACACTCAAGTCGTCAATCTCAGCTGCCTCTTTGTTCAACACCTTCGTTGGATGATTGTTGAATTTCTCGTCTGCAATCTCCTAAAAGTCATTTCAATTTCTAAACTGGAGATCTGAAATAACATCTGGAATACTATATGAGGAGAATCAGCACTTACTCGCAATCTTGAGAACCTCTTCAATAGTTTTCGGCAGCAAAACGACCTTTCCAAGTCCCACCGCTTCCTTGTTCCAAGGATGATAAGAATGGATGATGACACGAAGAGGAACCTCCTTAGCAGCGCCAGCTGATGGAAAAGTCTGAAGAGGGTCTCGATTGTCACGCCGTCTCAAGCCCCAACCTGAAGGGTTCTGGTTTGCGTTTAGTTGCCGGCTGAGGGTTTTCTGTCCTCTTATAGTCATGAGACGGCCCCGAGCCGACTGCTTTCGCATTAATGAGTGTATCGTTCGCTCTCCGGAAAATCCTTTATTTGGACTAGGCGGGGGTGTTACCTCATCAATCTGCACTCAAAGGAAATAGATATAACTAAATAAATAAATAAATCAAGTCAATGATCCTCGTTCAGAACAATTACACATGCATCAGATCAGTCCCACGAAGAAGATGAGGTTCGTAGAAAACAATATAAGGCACCTGGAATTCAACATTGGAGCTTCCCTTCCTTGGAAGCCTCTTCTGATTTGCGTTAGATGTCGACTCTCTAGGCGTGATGGAACTGTATGGTTCATCGCGGACTGATTGGGCCTTCAAAAAGGAAGCTATTTCGGGGTGATCTGCACTTCTCTCAGCTAGCTCGTATGCGGTAAGGGTGGCCTCATCACCAGGCTTGATGTGAGGGTCGGCTCCTCGGGATACTAAAAACCTCACCATATCCATGTTGCCATCAATAACAGCAATGTGGAGCGCACTCAGTCCTTCAGATTCGCCTGCTGTGTTTATGTCGGTTCCATATTTTAAGTAGTCGTCAATGAGGTCTCGATTACAGTCGAGCACAGCTTGCCCGAGGTATACCCCCATGTCCGCATTTTTCAAGGTCGCCCCGTTCTCTGATAAGAGCTTCACGGTAGCCGTGTCGCGGGCAATAAGGGCCTCAAGTAGAGGAACCTTCCCATACACATCTGAAACCACGCAGGTAATTAAGAATCACGCATGAAACAAAGAAAACAACACACAAATAAAATAAAATAAAATAAAATAAAATAAACACGATCAAAGAGAGCACCGAACTGAAAGATGGGATGTGACTAAACATACCAGCCTTGTTGGGGTCAGCTCCGTGTTCCAGAAGGAGCTTGACGCACTCCTCGTAACCTTTTGATGATGCAATGACCTGGTCGTATCCCCACAAAGAGATCGAAACAGAGATGACAAATAGCACAGGACAACAAAATAATTCAATATTTATCTCATTGTCAGTGCACTTGTGGGGTGGTATGCAAGAGTAAGAAAGACACTGAGATGTAAGGGTACGACCATGGTGGAGATTGGCAGGTCATACCAGAGCAGTCCGACCGTGATAATCTGTCTTGTCCACCTCCGCGCCTTTGCTCAACAGCTGCTGCATAACCTCCACATTTCCTCCGGCAGCAACCGCACATACGCTTGGTTCCGATATTTCGCCGCCTTCAACAAGGAGGGCTTCAATCTCAGAGGAAAGCTCCTCAAATCGAGGATCATAGGCTTCTCGCAAGCGCTGCACGCACAGGAAAAAATAGATCCTTTGAGTTAAGTATCTAATGGAAACATTATCTCCCGAGCTCCTAGTACACAGATCAGCTGTATAATAATACCCCAAAAGAAATCTCGAGGCATAACATCGAATGGAAAGAATACCTGCAACAGATTGTCAACAATCTTCTGGCCGTCTTCCTTGTATTGTTGCACAATGTTCATAAACACAATGCGGTCAAGTCGCAAGAGCTGGGATAACTTTCGACTTCGCACAGTGAAAGGCTGTGGCCTGTAACAAATCACCCCTATCTCGCCAATTACATCAGTTGCCTGAGCCGTCATTAGAATCTGCCCCAGACGTCACAGAGATTCAGAATTGCATTACAATGTGCTTCATGAATACAGACCACGAGAAATTAATGAAGTGATATTCGAAATAAATAAACAAAACTACAAAGCAAACAAATCACATTAAAATAAATCAATCACAAGCAGGGATTATATCATACTTGCTCTGATCCGGCTTCCTCCCTTCGAATTATTACATCCTGCAACCAGTCAACCACACATACAAACAGATCCATTTGTTGTCGTCACATAACACAGGTAACACCAACTAGAACTACTCAAAAAGAGAGTTTAAAAAAGATAAAAAAAAATTTAAAGGTCAATCTATCACAAATGATTGCGGGCTAACTGCGGCATTTCATCTAAATGAGTATGACCAAGGGGTAGGAATATCTGACTCACCGCGGAACCATTCACAACTATGTAAAACTCGGAGGGGGCCTCGTTAACCAGAATAATTTCCTCGCGAGGAGGGAAGAACTCGACCTTCATCTCCGACACCTTCACTTAACACATTATAGACAAATTATATCGCAGTTGGGCCAATAGAATTCATAATTTTACGTCCAAATTGGTAAATGTATGGGCACACCATTGCATCATCACTTCAAGAAACCCGATTTTCATTAGCACAAGCCAGTGTTGACACACAAAAAGCAGAGATGGCGCACCAGCTGAGTACGAAAATTGTAAGAAGTGCCTTGGAAAAGGTATACTTTCTCGACTGTGTTAAAAAACAGAAATTGCGCAACAGATGAGCGGATAGCCTTTGGTAGGGTGGCTATGGTCCCTTGATGCTGAAGGCTCTCTGTCTTGAACTTGAGCTGCACGTGGGAGATCATTTGCTCGTGAAGCTTGCGTGGCAACTGATTTCTAGTTGCAAACTCCACCAATTGTTGCACCGAGTCACGCTGGCCCAAATCCAATCACATTATCAAATCTCCATCACCATCAATAAACGATCCAATCTGTCGGATGAATGAAAGAGGGGGAAAAAAAAAGGGGGGGGGGGTTAATGAGAGACTCACATAGTCACGAGTTCGTGCGGTAAGACGAGTGATGAGATTGGTCATGTTTCCTATGATGTACGCAGTCAATGCCAGATTCAGCAACATGTAAAGGATGGTGAAGATCATTTCACCACGGTTGACTGGATGCAAATCGCCATATCCCACAGTCGCCAGTGTAGTGATGGACCAGTACATACTCGTCACGTACCGCGCCCACAGTGACTCCTCTTTAAAATTTGGGAGCACAGCTCCTAGCCACGTATCTGCCTCTTTGCTTGCCGGATGTCGAGCAGCCAATAAGTAGTACGAGCAGGCCGCAAAGTGGCAAACAAACACAGTCACCTGCAGCATCACGCAAACCCTTCATCAAAGTGCAGAAGCCAAACCGATTTTGAGCAATCAAATGTGATATAGCTTGAACAGACCAACTCCTTTCAAACAATGTGGCAATGAGAGCGAAGAGCCAGATTGGATTTGGGTTCTCAAACATGACCCAGCTAACATACCAGAAAGAGTTTGAGGCATCGAGTCCAGAAGTAACTAAATTTCACATTCTTCTCCACCCTCGCAAACACGTCACTCACACGGCGCAATCGCCAGAGGCGCAACAAATTGACAAAACTGGCCGCAAACCCTGTCTCATATTTTCCAGTGAAAATCGCTATTACTGCGGCCAATGGAACAGTCGACACAACATCCAAAATAAACCATGTTCTCAAATACCTGCCAATCACAATGAGGTGATCAGTAGGATAAATATTCCTCAGAAACAGAGCGGAACCGAGCAGTGGTTATCATCCCAAGTAGATGAGAATGGAAACGATAAGACCTCGTACTCTCAGAAGGCTACCTGATGGCGATCTTCTTCAAGTTGTCTTCCATCAAAAAAGTTGAGGTGTCGAGATACGCGACGAAGAAGGTCAATACGATGTCGATGAAGAAGAGAAAGTTGACAATATTGTCGACAGTTAACAGAGCACCGCGAGGATTTTGCACGAACCCAAACTCGAAAGGTGACACCCATGCGGAGTAAAACACTAGCACCACCAAAATCCCCTGCCAGTACCTACCAACACAAGCAACGCTTAGAATTCACGGGCTCGCCGCTAAACTGCTTGCTCAAGCGGCCACAAACCCTAGCAGCAGTGAAACTGGGCACTAGGGTGGAGTTTCAGCATCATTGCACCGCCACAGTCCGTCTGTAAGGTTGTCCGTAACCTAGCAGAGCCCCCACCCACAAGCTTGGCCATAATACTCTACATATCCCCGTTGGATAAGCTCAACATCAGATATCCAAGGTGGCGAGCTATCTAGCTGAAACAAAAGGATTCAAGTACCTGTAATTCTTGTTGTAAGGATGAATAACGTATTTCTTTTGAAGGACGTTCTTCGTACTCTGGTTGGATCCAAGAGCCGGCAACATTCCGCTGCTGTATGCATGGCTGAAGATGCTGGGGGTAGAGGCCTTGCGCTGATTGCCGTACTTCATCAGCCCCACTGCTCCAAGGACCTTGTGGGTCAACCCGCTTACCGACCACCCCATGATCCTACACCTCGCTACACAATGGCAGATTCCTCTGGGAGACTGCTCACTACGAAACGCAACTTATCGAATTTTCACCGAATTGAGTCATCGTCCAAAGGCAATCTAAAGCCAGCGACAACATCCAAACTGAAACCATGAGCGTGAAGAACGCTCCTACCCAGTGAGCTGCAAAACTGCTATCAAATCCGCGTCACGGAAGGCTTCGCGACCAAGACATAAAGACGAGTTCAACAAAACGAGCACTGTACGATAAATATTCCTCAGAAACAGAGACGATCACTGCACTTCCGAAGTGACTCAGCCTTCATCTGCAAAAAATAAAAGGGATGTCCCAGCTCAAGGTGAAATTGTATCAGGGATTGAAGGTGTCAAATCAAGATGAGGAGGAAGGCATTGGTGGGGGGGTGGCCGGACAGAGATCAAGATATGGCGAGAGAAGTAGTAAAACTGTAAGAGCAGGGGGAAGAATCAAACTGGACGTAAAGGGGGATTCAGAGGAGACTCCACCCGGAGTCAACCATGCAGGTGCAGAGCGATGCAGTGCAGCTTGTAAAATTTCTGTAAATTGCCCTTTTTCCTTCCTTCATTCCCATTGCACTCCCACTCCACGATTCCATTGTTGGCTGCGCCGTTCGTCCTCCGCTCTCACCATTGCGCCTTCCCTTCCCCGTCTTTCCCTCTTCACCTTCTTCTTCTTCTTCGCATTATGGTTTCGTCGCCGTCACCGTCACCGGCGATTCCCCATCCCCGGCACAACCCCATTTGCATCCCCCCCCCCGTTGCCGCTTCGCCGCAGACTCCTCGTCATTCCATCCGTTGAGCCACTTCATTCCCCCTCGCCCCCCTTCTTCCTCCACGTCAGACACCTGGAAGTGGGTCCCATCCAATTGGAGGGGCAGGCCGGCCACGGAAGATTCCTGGTCCCGCCGTCTTTTCGGGGGTGGGGGGTTGATGCGGAATGTTGTGTCCTACGTGCTCTGCTGTACTAACAACATACAATAACATAAAAATGCTTTGCCTAGTAATATACTTACAAACAAAGCTCAGGTGTTCTTCATCGACATTCTTAAAATTCGAATTAAATGTCACTGATTCAATTATAATTTCTTGAAAAATGTTAAGTAAGGGTATGTTCTCATTTCATTGAGAGCAGATTTCGTTACGATGTTGAAAACCCAACACGCGAGTTACTGGGGAATATATATATATATATATATATATATATATAGAAAGAGAGAGAGATTCATGGTATATATTTTATAGTAATGTAAAATATATATTTTGGTGTGTATTAATAACAAGAATTAATCATGTAAATTTTGTAGATATCATAGCTGGTGTATGCTTAGGAATTAAATCTATGCTCGTCTGAATATATTTGATCCAAATACGATTACCATACGTCAAACATGTACTACTTAATGTACGAAGCTCTGTGGTATGGTGGGGTCCTGTGTTCAACTGCTGGAGAACTGGCAGCAATTGCTCCAAGGCCACAAAGCCTCCACATCCATCCAATGCCAAGTAGTAAGCAGTAAATAGTAAGCGGAAGTCCTTGTCTAGGTCCCACGGGAATTCACCGAAGCCATCTCACTCTGGAACAACGATGGTGACGGCCATAGGGGCCATAACAACCGTGCAGGAGAGCACTGACTGAGCCCACCTAGTCCTCTTCCCCGTCGCCGTCGCCGTCGCCGTCCTTCCTTTCAGTCCATCGTGGCGCATTCGGCTTCTTCGACAGCTCCGAAGCTGGCTCCTCAGAGTCCTGAACCCCATCCCAAGCCCATACATGGCAAACATTTATAGGTGGAGTCAAATTCCACCGTGTTTCCTAAAAGGACCCATTAATTCTGGTTTCCAATATATGCAGATTTATGCAGATTTTTACCATGAATAATTAATTGATTCAACCCAAGCATTTTGTAGTGTTGTTTTTGAGATGCATTCATTCAACTTCGTACTGCCACACTCTCAAACATGGTTAAATTACTAGCAGTAATAAAAATAGATTTTGTTCTATTTCTATATATCATCAAAGTGACCAATGAGACACAAATAATAAATAAATAAACTTTTGTCAAAAGTTTGCAAAAGAAATCATATATATATATATATATATATATGTAAAGGAGTTATTAAAGCTACACCCCCATTTTGTTAATGCAGCATCCCCTTGCCGTCTCATGATTAATTCACTCTATTCTCAGTCTCTGTCCCAACTCCCCATCCATATTCCTTGTTCCTTGTTTCTAAACCTTGTTCTAGGTCCATGTCTCCCTTCTCCCATCTCAACCTCCCTCATCCTTGTTTCCATTTCTTATCATTGTGAAATGGCTAATAAAACAAACCAAAATATATGTTTCATTGGTTGAATAGAAAAAACTATTAAAATAAAATCTAATTAATTTAAAATATAAAATTCCAACATAATAGAAGCACCAAAATACCAAAAAAAATTAAAAATAAATATTTCAATATTATAAACTATATTTGTTTTTCTTTAATTATGAAAAAGTTTGATTTGAGATAAAAAATTTGATGATTTTTATTTTATGATGTGTTTTTTGTAAGATATACAATCATTCTTTTCACCAATTCAATCTATAATACTTTATTTTTTAAAGTTCTTATTGTCAGAAAATATATAATATTTCATAAAGTACAATGATTGTAAATTTATATAAATATGTCATCCTTAAAAATCTCTTTGTAACTTTGAAGTATTTTCACCATATTTCTACATTCCATGCTGTAGATTTAGATTTTTTAAAATAAAAAAAACCCATATCATTCAACCTTTCTAAATTGCTAATAAGAAAAATGTTATTCAAACAAGAACATTTTATGTAATATTTTATGCAATACATAAATACAAGAGGTTGCAAAATAAGTACTTGTGTGTCAACTAAATGGAAAAGTATCTCACATGCATGATATAAAATTATAATTTGTTTTTTACAATAGAAAATAAAAATAAATTTTAAAATGTCCTTATTGCACAAAAAAAACAACTTGAGTGTGTGTTTATCTTTACTTATTTATTTAATTTTTCATTTTTAATTTTTTATTGATATTCTATGTGATTTTTAAATATTATCTATCTATATATATATATATATATATATGTTTTTCAAAGACTCAGTGTAGTTATATTTACATATAAAAAAATCATATCTTATAATTAAAAAATAAATTAAGAAATGATAAAAATATTAGAATTCATCTATTAAATCTTAAAAGACTTCTACCACTTTTCTTAAAAATAAATTGAACTCCATAATATCTTAGTGTAGTATAATCATATATAAAAATACAAATAAACTTGCCTTTGTAGTTGTTCCATGCTCTTAGTATTTTTAGCTATAGCCTTTTTTATATCTCTTGAAGAGAAGCAATAAATGAATTTAAACTCTCAAATCACAACCATCTATTTTAGATATACCTATTATTAACATATTCAACATATTAATTAGATTCTTTGCCAATAGACTATAAGATTATTTTAATAAGATTATATTACTGTTATAAGATTATAATAGATTATTATTTTGCCATATAAATAAAGATTGGATTACACTTAATGAAGAAAAAATGATTTCATCTTCCAACTTAAGTTTTCATTTAAAAAGATACACAACTTGATATATAGGAACATACATAGTTTAATATACAATATCCAACCAAAATAAAGATATAAAAAATGAAAATGCATTATAAATTCTTTATCTTAGTATTAAATTATCCCAACTAATATGTACATGTTAATTGAAAATTGATATATATATAGAGAGAGAGAGAACCACATTCTTGCAAATCTCGTTTCTTCGTCCGAGAGAAGCGAAACAGAGTCAAGCCTCAACCTATTTGCCTCCATGCGGGGCAAAGATAGCAAAACTCCGAGCAACCCTAGCGGAGGACTCGCTGCTGCTGCTTCTGCTTCTGCTTCTGAGCAGGAAAGGAAATGAAGGGAAAGCCAGGAAGATGAACCTCAGGAGTCTCTTTCACAGCATGTCTCTCTGTTTGTTTCTAAGCATACGATAAGTCGTCGACTGAATCCGTTGCAAACTATCGCAAAGCAGGAGAGCAGCTGTTGTGGATGGTTTATAGGTCAGGAGTGAGGGTTTTGACCATGTCAGGAACAGTCATAACCTCCGCCCGATACTGTGCGTAGGTACTGGCCTTGTACCGCAAGGGCGGGAACTCAGCTACCAATTCGGGTATTGGGGTAACCACTTTGTCGTCCGGTGGACAAGAGAAGACCCCTACGGAAAACCGCTCTGAGCTGTTCAAAAGAGCCCGATGCAATGGCGACTTGTACAACCCATTCGTCAGAATCTGCAGCCAAATCGTCAGTAAGGGAGAAACCTTTCAAGTACTATGAAGTCTGACAAGCATGCACACGAGGAAAACAGTCGGTTCGCTCAGAAACGGCAAGGAAAAAGCGAAGGAACAAGCGAAACTGTGCATACCTCGAACTGGTCGCCCAAATTGACAGCAAATGCATCTTGGATGGGCTCCACGGAAACCCACTCTCCGTCTTTCATCACTTGCAACCCCGAAACGCTTTGCATCAAGACGGTGAGTGCACAGATATCCGAGTGATTCTGTAAGCCCATGGACGGAGTCTGCTCCACTGAAGCTAAGTAATGGTTAATTAAAAAGGTTTGTGCGTAATCTTTACCAAAGAAGTCGTTGAGAAATGACGACCTTAGGTTCAAGCTCTCGGAAATGAGCTCAAACAAGTGTTCCTTCAGTTTGTGGTGCTCTTGAGTGAATTCCTCTTCTATTTCTCTGCGAAAAATAGATTTTGACCCTCTCAAATTTCAAGTTGCCATCGAAATAATATCAAAGGCAGGATGAAATACTTTCAAATTGAGCACTGACTCGCATGCTGGTTGATGACTACCCCGATGATTGTACCACAACAGAAATCTAAGTAAGTAACAGAGAATGCCCCGAAAAATGGCACAAAATTTAATCAATAATCCGCTATACAAACAGGATGAGCCCTCACCTGAAAGACGGCGGATGGGAGGGCCACTGTTCATAAGCTCTGGCCGAAAGTGGCAATGTCCGGTGACGCAATTGATCGCCTTGGTCCAAGGCTCCTTTAGTACCAAATTCTTTAGTTCCATATCCATGAAAAAGATCGACAGTAGTGGTCCTTTCCGACGAAGAATACTTCCACTTCTCCTCCGTGGGGAGATCAAAGAACTCCTTAGCCACTTGAAACATCTTCTTCATCAGAGCCGGAGATATGTCGTGATTGATAACCTGAAACAAGCCCCATTCTACACAAGCACTTCGAATCTGTTGCACCACGACGCTGCGGCGTTCCCCACGTGATCCTTGCAAGTCTATCACAGGAACTTCTAACTCTCTTGACGAGCCATTATGTTTCAAATCAGAGCCCATGGCGCGAGCTTCAGTGGTTGATTCTGAATATGTTTCGATGCAACAAGCTATTGTGGTAATGCGAAGGTAATCACCTACACCAGCGCTAAATTAGAGTGGACATACAAAAAGTCCGCCAAATACTGGACAGTTTACTTTCCCAAGCTGCAACATACGTAATAGGGACCCCAATTTCACGATCTGCAAACCGCAAATCCCAGAATGATCACGACAGGTTACTGAACCGGAGTAGAACATTTAAATGAACAAACAGGGGTTCCAAACATATCGACTCGCCCCAATCGAACTGTGCTCTGCACTATCAAAGGCTACGAGACGAGCAGGGAGTGCGAGATGCACGCAACGCTCCACGCAGGTTCCCGATTTCAGACAGACAAAAACACCCCTAGAATCGCTTCTAGATTTTTTAATTATTTATTGTATTAATCCACAACGGGAAATATCCATGGTCACTTCTGCTTCTTCTTCTTCCTCTTTCCCTCCGCAGTGCAACCACCAGCACCAGCAGAGAGGCTTTTCATTCAAAAGGCCAGGCAAGTCAAAACAGTACTGGAAGCGCAAGAGTCTTGTGACACTACTGACATCAACATCCAGATTTTATTAGCTAATGAATGAATGACTCGTTGCTTCCGAACCCCTTGAATAAAAAATTAGGGTTTGACCTTCTCATTCACCTAGAGTAGTATCCTTCAACTGAAAATGTTTTTTTTTATAGTTGCAATAAGTTCAAATTCTATTAGATGAACAGTTTGAAAAGATATTACACAGTAGATGATTTCTTTATTGTATTCGATCAAGAATATTTTGATTTGTCAATGTGTCATTCATCATATTGAATGAATGTCTCATTGCATTCATTACAAAGTATCTCTCTTTTTAAAATGCATATCATGAATTTTTTTGACCAACAATAATCTAGGCTTAGTTTTGGATGCATGGGCTTGATTTTTCTTTTTCATTTTTAATTTTAAAAAGTAGTCATCAACTTAACATAATTTAAGTTTTTTTGTTTATCTGTTTTATTTATTGATTTATTTATAAAATTTGTAAGTATATTTTTGGCATATTTATATCAATTATTATTTTATCATTATTACTTTTACATTTTTTACTTATTATTTTTACAATTTGTTGCAATTCATATGTTAGTTTTATTGATTAGTTGTGTTTTTTTCTTGGTCAATTCAATACATATAATAATTAGATATTTCAAAAATAAAACAATTACTTTTATATTCATATCAATACTAAATTATAATTATAATAACTTAGATATATAAATTTTTAATTATATTTTTAAAGCTTTTGATTAAAAAATATATTAATCTCACAAATGTGTATCAAAACCTTAAAACTAAATTTTGAATAAATCTAGTCATATATCATCATTTACATAATATGCAAAAATTTCATATCCACTTTTCTTCAAAAAATTATAAGTAAATTTAAATAACATAATTATTTAAATGAAAGTGCAATTCAAATTCATGAGATCTTTTCAAATTAATACTTAAAAAAAATTATTTATAATAGATATTTATTCAAATTAAAAAAAATCAAGAAGGTTATAATTTTGTTTAATGTGCCAACTTTTTTAGTAGTCTAACAATAATAATAGTAGTCCAAATATAATGTATTATTTAAAAATAATTTTACATATTTAAAATTATATTAATACCAAAAATACAACTAATATTTCATTGTTGATATAGTTTGATTTTTAGACCTCACATTTACCTTATCATTCTTGCTATTCTAAAGAGATTTTCTAATACATATTCATTTAGAAAGCAATAAGATTTTATAGACATCTAACAAGAAGATTTTAGAAATGTTATTAGAATATCTCTAAAATATTTTAATAAAAGGTTTTAGAGGATCTTAAAAATATTTTAATAAAAGATTCTAAAAATATTTTTAGATATTTTAGAATATTTTAGAAGATTCTTAAAATATTCTAATAAATTCAAAAAAGTTCTAAGAGGATTAAAGAAGTTGTGTAACAAGCTATAGATAAGATATTTGTATTGTTGATATATAGGGATAGATAGTTGGAACAATGTTTGAGAAGGTTATAGAAGCTTCTAGAATTAAGGCTAGGTTAGTGGATTATGTAGGATCCATTGTAGAACATTCTAAAAAATACTTAAGGTAGTTATCTAGGTAGGATCTATCATGGAACCTTCCAAAAAGAGTTTAAGGTGCTTATGTAAGTCGGATTTATTATCTAAGAATATTTTAGAAAGTCTAGGGTGATAGAATAAAATATAAATAAAAATGGCGAGGGCCTTTTGAGCATGTGATCAAGTATGGCCTCAAATCTTTTCTCTTAATGAAATTTGGTATTGCAACTTCTTTTTTATATTTATTTTATTATATTTTCGTTTGTTCAATTTTGTCTTTTGTGTCTTATTTTATTTACTTCTGTTCAATCTTATTCTAGTCTAATTTATCTTACTTTGTAATAAGTTTTATGTTGTTGTGGATTAGAAAGGTCTTAGACTCTTAAGATAGACTAATGTCAAGGACAAGAACTTGATGAAAAAATAATTCAGATAAGTGAGCCTTCGCTCAAAGAAAGGTAACAAAATATAAATAAACAAGTATGTATATTGAAAGAGAAACTAGAATGGCTATTGCCAAAAGACAAAAAAACTAGAGACCCTTGAAACTAGATTGGAAGCAAGAAAGGAGTTGACAAGAATGAAGAAGGCTTCACTCTTGTCTCTATATATACTATCTAACTAGGGGCTACGTGGGAATGTTCTATAGGACCTCCAATATGTGTTGACTTTGTAGGACACATGCTTTGACTTACAAGGCAAGTTTTTCTACGTATGGGCCACATAGTTAGCTTGATCTTCAAGCTAACAACATGTGTGGCACATGGCCAACTTCTTGACCATGTTTCTAATCCAAAAAGTCAATTAAAGATACCTATGAAATCAAAGTAGCATCTATGAAGCTTCTAGGAAGCTACCATATTAAATACTGTAGAATTAACTTATTTTTATCTACTTTTACTTACTTCTACCTATTTGTGTATGTAATTACTAGCTTACATGAGTATGTCAGTGACATTACCTCCCCTTCTAGGGAGGAGTTCCATGAGGAGCGGTCATTATATGTTGAGGAAATCTATGATGCGACGAATTGTATTTGCCACATACTCTGATCTTTGTTCTCTTCAAAGATGATTGATAGGGCCTCTCAACCATCGATAGTGTCTCATATTAGGGCAGAAAGACCACCCAGTTATTTGATCATTGTTGAGGCCTTCATAACTTCCTTCGAATAGAACATTTGAAACACCATCAGGAGTTGTTCCTACCTCTAGCAAAATCACCAAACATTGGGAGTCCCTTTCCAAATCGTGATATCAAATGCGTTATATCTCGCCATCTACTTGAGAAAGAACATGTCGTTCTTGAAGATCTTCATCTCGATTGCGTCGTCTTGAAGGTTGTGATAATCGTAATGTCTCGTCCGATAGGTCAGCAAATGAAGGCTCTTGAGTTGAATCCACTGGTTGTTGGTTCTCCATCTCTTGAACGTCACAATCACAAAGAAGCTACGAACAAGGATTGAAAGTAGAATGTTATCTTGCCTAGATGTTGTTTCTTTTATAAAGAAATTTTTTATCTTGATTTTGATGGATGTCGTCGATGAAAAGCCTCCACCGCCTTTATTGTATTTGTAAGATTCTTTGTTGGCTCCCATGTGCGTTCACTAATACCATATCCGCTGTCGTATTACGTGCTTTCCTGCTCGAGAACGCGCCGGGCGTCTGGCTGTAGAAAGTAGTATGGAGATTCGCCGATAGTCAAGCAGTCTATCAGTTTTTGACTGCCGAAATATAAACGACTGCAACAATGTACCGTAAATCTATATAGGTGCTCTTCGACTGCTTGTCGAAGTCTTTTTTTTTTTTTTTTTTTTCCCAGCCGGTAGGTCTCTAGACGTTACAGAGAACCCCGAACAACCCAAACTGTTAATCTTCAATACCCCTTTGTACTTACGATCTTGTATCCACTGACTGTCCTATTAGATTAACCCCATAAATTTCATTCACTCCGCATACTCAATCCTATAGACACCCTTTTAATCCTTCAATCACAGACGTAACTCGATTTTACAAAACAGTCAAGAGTATTCAAATCCACTTCATTTAAAAATCCCGATTCACCATTACAACACTGACTTCAGCAGCGATTGCCTCAGTCTTCCCAAAACTCTACGAAGAAGAAAAATCCAAATTCTATGTCTTTCCTTCCCCGACCCGAAGCATGAAGCTCCCTCTCTCTAATTCCCTTTATCTTCAAAACCCTCCAATGAAAAACCGAACTGGTAACCTTGCAAAAGCTTGAAAACTAGCTCCCCCCCCGATTCCCCCAAAAAAAAAAAACCTCCCTCCCTAAAACTATATTCTCCCCTAACCTTATCCTCTGAATTTCTTCAATCTTCCATCTTAGATCCGGAATCAGAGCTTAGATCCAAAATTGGCTCACGTCATCAAGGCCTTCTCCTCCGTTTTTACCTTTAAGAGATCTATTTACCGTAAACAACGTTCCCTGAAATGGCACAGAGAACAGGACAGCCCAAAACAGAATCGAAACCCCGTAATCGGGACCACATTGAGTTGCCCGACCAATTCAGGTCCTATATTGGGTAAGATGCCCGTAGTAACCTGGATGCTCACGTAATTGGGTCAAATTGGTCTTCGCGTCAGACTGGCTGAGGCCCGTAGTAAGACCTGGATTTTCCCGTAACTAGACTGCATTGGGTTGCCCCACCAATACAGGTCTCATATTAGATAAGAGGACCCGGATTGGATTCTCGAAATTGGATCCAATTGGCTCTTCAAACCCGTCGTGTGAATTGGTCCTTCTCATCCTGCTAACTCCCGTTATTAGAATCGAATGGAGCATTTCAGTATGCCCCGGCTGGCTGTAACGGGGTGATTGAACCTGACCACTCGGTATTTGCGCTGGAGTTGGTCGATGCTCCGAATATTCGAGATAACTGAATATTAATAAAATTCCCCTTCTTTTTTTTTTTTTTTTTTTTTTTTTTTTTTTTTTTTATTTTCACTGTATACTCGTGTTACAACACGACACCGCACCAATGGACAAGATATTCCAATTTATTTTGGTGTCGCCTTGAATCTAAGACTTCTTCTACTTCAAATTCTTCATTATTGTCCACTTCTATAGGAGGAGGTGGAGCTTGTCGTCTTCTTGGTATGTCCACTGTCTTGTATGATTCAAGAAGAGACACATAGAATACTGGATGGATTTTCATTGGCTCTGGTAGATGTAAACGATATGCAACTGGATTGATTTGTGCAGAAATAGAAAATGGTCC